CTCTCTCTCTCTCTCTCTCTCTCTCTCTCTCTCTCTCTCTCTCTCTCTCTCTCTCTCTCTCTCTCTCTCTCTCTCTCTCATTATAACATAAAGCTATCCATATGTAAGTGACATAATTTGACCGGTCGTATGACTAGGAGAGAATTCGCCACATCCATACCTGACAGGTGGTGTACAATTAAGCGGGACGAGATCACAACCAAAAGAACAATTAAACAGGGCTGGTTAAGCAGGATTGGGGTGGCGGGTGGAGCGTGATATGGTTTTTGTACTGAAGAGTTGAGCTTTTCTGGTCAAAAAGTGGATTCATCCGACCCCCGACCCCCTCAGTCTTATATTTTAAAAATCCGGTTATCGCGATGGTAAGGTTACCGATCTGAGATCGTTTGCAACGCGTGAAGGAAAACTCCAGTTAACATAAGAGGAGCCCTTCAAAGAAAAATCAACACTCATGCCGGAGAGGATACAGTGAATCTGCGTCTGCCAAATTATTTGATATCAGAACATCAAGGATTTTTTTTTACATAACATGCCTCCAAACGGGTGTTGTCTCGCAAAACAAATTACGACATTCTTTGCATAGCTGAACAATATTGAAAAATAAAATAACTTAAAACAATTCAAAATACATCTTTATCCTACCGTTTAAATTGCTCGGTTCCTAAGTCCTCCGACGATCTCACGTTACGCTGTTACGCTTCGATAAACGTAAATGATAAAACCTGGCGTTCTTGGGCTTTAAAAAGGGGTGCACACTGTATCACGTGGGTGATCTTTTTTTTTTTTTTTTTACAGTTAAGAGATGAACAAATGCATTTTTGCTTCTTGACTATTGATTGGCACACCAGTGCGCGTGGATGTATAATAGAAACATTTTATAATATTCGTCCTCATCCTCCTCAGGGAAGTTAGAGATCTACAGTTAGTTTGAATCAGGACCTAAATATATGCCATGGATACTGTCATCTGCACGTACATCTTTTATAAACTGCTGTAAGGCCCAGTATAGTGAAGTATATGAGAAATAAACTTTAGTCTTTTTAGTTTTACTTTTGTATTAGTGTATATACAGTATTGACTTGACATCCATCCGCATCAAAGTGAACTTTATACGTTTAATTCTGCATGACCAAAGCGTTTATCCATCAAACATGTTGCTCAGTGTTCAATTTACCCTTTCCTGCCCTCCACTGCGTCTGGGCACTTTCCCATTATATATGTTTAACAATATATATATATATATATATAAAGAGAGATAGAGATAAAGACATATTATCAGTTTTGCGTGTGGGTAAATCCCATGGACTGAATTGACCCATGTGGTCAATCCGTCTGTGCGCATCTGTAGCATAAATTGGCATATTTTACCATATTCCTAATATCGTTTTTCCTCGATGCCTCCTTCTCTCTCTCTCTCCTCCTCCCCCTCTCTCTCTGTGTGCGTGTGCGTGTGCACGCGCGCGCGTTCGAAAGAGAGAGAGAGGGAGAGAGAGAAAGAGATCAGACAAACACATACTACGTGTAGTTCATATGAATAATAATTTGTTTTAACAGCTTTGACTGTCACCCGCCATGCTGTCTCATTTCTGTCATTGTACATATTTGAAGGATGAGTACACCTTTACAATGTACGTGTAAGTGTGCACAACATTTCCTACTTCAGAGGTCATGAAAGGACATTACGTCAAACTAAGAGACGCATCTCTCCTTTCAAAGGCCTCTCGGGGACCTACGCCAACGGTGACAAACGGACAGTATAGGAGCCGCCTTCGTTCCCTTTAGATCGCCCAGTACATGTAGCTGAAGAAGGTGGGCGGCATTCATCTGAGGGCCTTAGCTGTCCTCTTATCAGCCGGTTATAGGAGCACTGGGGACGTGAAGAACGCACCCTCTTATCGGGTTGAAAACATATTTGTAATACGTACGACAGGTGAGAGCGGGGAGAACTAGGTCAAACTATACAGGTGTGCAACGGTTAGATTTCACATGCCGAAGAACGTACTTCCCAGCAGCACGCTAAAAACTGTTTTATAATGCCTGTATCACATGTAGTACGATTATCATTTATTTTCACCACACTTAGAAGAAAAAACGAAAGCATTCGATGTTAATTGTTATTGTATATAGACTACATGGACAATGTAGAGTGAAGGCCCAAACATTCCAATATCATGAGTGTTTTGTTTTATGTACACATGCAGGTCAATAAAGAACACCGATTCTTAGGTGGAAGGCGTTATTACATGATTCTTATTTCAAAATCTGTGGTATTAATTTGTCTTTAGGGCAGGTACCCCTAGAAAGAACTTTATACCCCACCCAACCGTCACCTTACCTTATCTCTCTGTCTACCAGCTTGATATTACGTGTGTTTCAGCCATATGTTTTTTTTTTTTTTTTTTTTTTTTTTTTTTTTTTTTTTGGGGGGGGGGGGGGGGGGGGGGTTTTTTTTTCTTTTTTTTTTTTCCCAATTGGGGCAAATTT